GGTTAACCCTGGTGATGGAAATGGACTGAAGTACGTCGCTGACTCTGATCGCCTGACCGGTGGGATGGGGTGCGCTCACTGTGGTCTCCCACTCCAACTACACCTTTCCCTTTGACATGCCGCTTAAGATCCTCCATCTCCGCCCCATCCGCCTGATGACAGCGTCTTGGTCCCTAACTTGCTTTCAGTCGCCTGGCGTGTGAGGCTCTTCCGCCGGGGACCGTCTGGACTCCGTGAATGCCCATGACTCCTTCCACGCTTATCCCGCGCGTCTCCTGACTGCCCTCCAGTGGGCGTCCCCAAGTCAGCCATTGGGTGGACGGCAGGAGGTCCCTCTCTCCTTCGGGTATACTCCGGGGTGGCTCCGTCGATGGCGGACAACGGGAACTCGTCGTTGTTCGCCATGGACGGCGATCAGATGAACCTGGAAGACAAGGTTTTGTCTGAAAAGTTCCCACAGACGGCGCCAATTGTACGGGGAGCAAATATTCCGGCGGGCCCGTATTCCTTTCCTCCGAGTTCCGTCGATATCCGATCACCTGCGAGCAAATAACGTGTAGTACCCGGCGGTGTGTGGCCGGAAACACCTCCGACGATCAAATTAGCACACACCTTAGAGGGTATAGAGAGAAGGGAGAGAGTGTTTTAGTGTAAGAAATTCCTTACAGAGTGTTCGTGTGTCTCGTATGGGGGGCGCAGTCATGCTTACATACCTTCTGTGCCCCATATCCACTCCCTGTCATCTCCTGTACACCTGGCTCTGCATCCCATCTGTCAGCATAAACCATGCCGTTCATCACCTGCTCTCAACTGCCTGCCAGCATAGCTGGAGCTCGGCAGCCGAGCTGCCCCACCTCGGTCATACCATGCTCATACCTTAAGCGCCTGGCCGGATAACCGAATGAAGGACCGGGCTAGGCGCATCTCGGCAAAGCTTAACCCGGGCTCCTCCTTTGGTCGGCCTCCTCGCCGGTCAATCAACTACCTCGGCTGACCGCGCCTTTCGAGCGCCGGCGTCTCGGTCTGTCTGGTCTCGACAATCCTCGGACCGAGCATCCCGGTTGACCGGTCACTTCCTGCCGAGCACCTTCTGCACGGTCCGGGCAGCACACAGTCCAAACTCTGCCCGGCCCAAGTTCTGGTAGCCCATCTCCGGCTGTGAACAGTCGATCATTTCGGCCCAATGCTCTGCTGGGCCCTCAACTTGTTCGGTCTACACCTCGGCCCAGCACCGGAGCATAAATCACCCTCTCAATAATATTTATATTTTTAATAAATAGTATATTATTTATTTTGTATATAACACGGCTAACATGCTAATATAATTCTAAATTCAAACGTATTTTTTAAAATTAAACCATGTGGAGCTTGAGGGTGTTTTTGGTTTAGTTTTGAGAGATAAATTATTATGCATGGCCGACTCCTCGCAAACCAACTCAGAGTCAGCAGAGGTTTTGACAGCAATGATCTTTGTCCTAGATGCCATTCTAATAAATGGGGAAAGCATGAGCCACCTCCTTAGAGATTGCTATTACTCAATGGAGTTGTGGAAAAATTTGAAAAATGATCAATGGATTAGGGATGGCATTGATAAGCCTCGGATGTTTGGCTTTCTCTTTAAATCTTTGTGATAAAACTAAACTTGCAAGTATTAACTGGAACATATGGTTCACTGTCACCCTTTGGTTCATCTGGAAAGGTAGGAATAAAACTGTTTTTGATAATTGTGATGTTCAAATTAGTGACAGCTTACACCTAGTGTTCCAGTATACTCAAGAGATCCTGGGCTTTCCAATGCCCCTAAGCTCTGATCATCAAAGAATTAAACTAATCAATGGTTGCCTCCTCCTACAATAATATCAAGCTAAATGCTGATGGATGTGTCAAGGAAAGTTTGGGAAAAGCTGGTTTTGGAGGACTCTTAAAAGATGCAAAAAGTTTCTTAGATTTTGGGTATACTCTAGAAAGTTGGAGTAGCAACAAGCTCGAAGTAGAATGTGGGCTATTTCGCGGAACAACATCATTCATGAAAAAGGTTGGAGAAATTGTGATAATTGAAACAGACTATCATGATGCTGTCAACCTCATCAATGATAGAGTTCATCCAAATTGCCCTTACCGTGTGCTCTTTGTGAAGACATTAAGGGTGCGTTTGTTTGGACGGACTGGATAAAGGGGGATTGTAATCCATCGGACTATTAATCCTGGGATATATTGTCCCGGGGCTATTTGGTTGAACTAAATTTGTATCATATGTTTGTTTAGTCATGGGATTAGATGTCTGGATTGGACTATTTTTAATTATCCCATGTTTATTTGGGATATTATGGAGAATGATAAATGCTCAAATGACTATTTTATCCTTTTTAATTATTTACTAAGTAATACAAATATTAAACATAGCTTTAATATTTTTAATTATTTTTAGCTAGATTAAATAAAATTTTATTTTATTTTATTTTTTCACAATTATTTTAATTATTTTAATTATTATTTTCAATTAAATTAAATTTATAATTATATTTTTTATTTAATATATAATTTTAAATACGACAATGAAAAATAATTTTATTTAATATGTAAATTTAATTTTTTAACAACACTAAAAAAATTTAATTTATAAGGCCATAATTTATAATTTATTATTTTTAAATAAATTTAATTTATAATTTAAATTTTTTATTTAATATATAATTTTAAATTAACAACACTAAAAAAATAATTTAATTTAATATGTAAATTTAATTTTTTAACAACACTAAAAAAGTTTAATTTATAAGGCCATTATTTATAATTTATTATTTTTAATTAAATTTAATTTATAATTTAAATTTTTTATTTAATATATAATTTTAAATTAACAACGCTAAAAAAATAATTTATAAATGTTCAAAAGACTATTTTATCCTTTTCTAATTGTTTGCTAAGTAATAGCATGGAGGGTAAAATGGATATTTCACAAAATAATCCTATGGAATACCAATCCCATGGTTTCTATCACATCTCCTCATGGGATAGGATAGTCTCATATTCAGAACAAAAAAAATGAAACAAACAATGGACTATTAGTCCGGTGGGACTAATAGTTCAATCCCACACCCTAATCCTTCAAAACAAACACACCCTAAATTCCTTCTCGTATGGACTGCACTATCAAACACATTTTTCGAGAATCCAATCAGTGTGCAGACGTCCTTGCTCATATAGGAGAAAACCAAGAGGAAGATTTGAAGATCTATGAAGACCCTCCTATTTTGTTAAGGCCCATTTTAGTGGCTGATATGGCTGGAATTGTGTATGAGAGGGATTAACCCTCTCTTTTCTTTTCTTTTCTTTTCTTTTCTTTTTTATGTTGTTTAGCTTTCTTTATTACCTAAAAAAAAATAGAGATAAATTATTAAAAAAGATTTTGGAAAGAGAGTTTAGAAATTTTTTTGATTTGCTTAGTTGTATATTTTGAAAATAATTTTAGAGTATAGGAGTTTGGAATGATTTAATATTTTGTTATAATTGAGTAAATGTATGTAAGAGAGAAAAAGTGATTGATTGATATGTAGATGAGAGAAAATGATTTTGAAATTTTTTTTAAAAAATCACTGAACCAAATAAAATTTAAAAAAAAAAAATTCTAAAATTTGTTTCTCAAAATAAACCACACAAAGCCTGAATGTTTACATTTGTCAACCGATGGAATTGAAGCATTTCGCACGGCTCGATAATTAAAAAAAGAAAAATGCTTGCCAGCACTATTTAGTGCTCCCACTAATTAGATGATAGTGGGTCTCATCATTAATGATGTGATATTTTGGTCTTAAAATTATATTTTTTTTTTTTTACTTTTTTAATGCATTAATACTATTAGTGATGATATTTTTAATGGAATAGATCATTGTTGTTAAAAAAATTCCCGAGAAAACGAGTCAACAAAATCAGCTTAAAGCCTAAACTTTCTCTTCCCATTTGCAACTTTACTCTACGATACACCCCCAACGGAATCAAACTGATTTCTTTTCTTAACGTATCGTCAGTTTTCACATGTCCCCACTCACTCACTCACTCACTCTCTCTCTCTCACTCTCTCTCTCCAATCCAATAAAAAATTGCATTAAGTTAAGCGAAGAGAATGATCTCTGTCATAATAACCAAAATACCCTTGTCGTTAATACCAAACCAGACACGTACGGTTCTGCCGCCTGCGAAATTAACGCCTTAACCGTCGGTGGGACCCAATAATAACAGTGGCAGTATCGTGAATAAAAGGAAAGAGTATGGACCATATGGTAATTAAGGTGGACCTTTTTTTCCACTATCCATACAGTGTGTGTATGTATATACACAGATATCAGTACAATAGCAACAGAAAGAGCTCAGCTCAGTTCTAACAGTGTGGAAGAAAAACTGTCGGCAGAGAGAGCTCTCTATTCTCTTCTCTTCCCTTCTACTCTCTCTCTCTCTCTCCCTAACAGTTCCTCGTTTTCTCCGCCGGCCGGGAATCTGACGACACCAAGAGAACCAGCTGAGACAAGAGGTGGGCGCTGACTGACATCTGACTCATACATACAAATGGAGGGTCGGCAACTACTTCTCAGCTTTTGGTTGGTGGTGGTGGTTGAGTGTTTGGTTGTCTCCGGCGGTCCTCTCAGCCGTGTATCTGACCCACATTGGTATCCCGCCACCGCTACGTGGTATGGAAGTCCCGACGGCGACGGCAGCGATGGTAAGCCCCACTCTCCCTCTAATGCTGCCATTCTCTCTCTCTCACCCAAAACTCCAAAACTCTGTTTTCTTTTCACTCTCTCTGTTTTGCTGAAAATGGCTTCATTAATACAAAACTCTGTCATTTTCAACGAAAATATCGCAGTTTACGAAGTTTGCCATACAATCGTTAAAGTGGTTTTGTTTTGGCAAAAATAAAATAAAGTTTTTTTGGTAGGTTTGTTTTGGAAAATTTAGTAAGATGCAATTCTGAACAATTACATGTTGTATATGTGATAGAAAAATGATTCATCACAATTTCTCTTCCAAATCCCCGCATACAAAGTTGATTCATATTTTAATATTTTTAAAAAATTTCTTTGTGTATTATGTTTTGTCACTATATTGGAAACATTTTGAGAGAAAAAATTATATAAATATAACACTGTTGTATATGATATTGACATTATAATTACAATTTTACAAATTAATCATGGTTTTGTAATACAGCATGCTGCTTTAACTGAAGTAATGGTGGATTACGGTTCACATTCACGCCTCCCTGTTTTATTTTGAAAACATGGAAAGTGCTTTCAGTGTCTGAGTAGATCATGTTAAACTCTTGAACAAAAATAGGCAAATTATTGCAGTTAACTACCACCATACCCCTACCAAAAATAGGCCTTTTTTTGTATGAAAGGAACATTTAAATGGAGAGACAGGTTTATTTTGTGATTTTTTTTTTCCCCCAAAATAATAGATGACTCTTGCTTTTTTAATTAATAAAAATTAAGTTAAAATAACCCATATAATTGCTCTATAAATATTAAAAAGGTATTTGGAATGATGTAAATAGGTGTATTTTTTTATTTTTTATAAAAAAATGTGTTAAAAATAAAGAAGTGATACGATGTGATTCAAAAAATACAAAATGATATAAAAAAAGAAAAAGGAAAAAGTGCTAATATAAGAAATACCCAATAATGCCTCAATAATTTTTTCTTATAACATATTAGAAATTTTTTTTTTTAGGTACTTCATAACATATTAGAAATATACATAGTATTATTAGACAAAAAAAAAAAATTGTCAAAATTGATTGCACTACTAGAAAAAAAATTGTCAAAATTGATTGCACTACTAGAATTTTTTATTTATTTATTTATTTTTTTGTGTATATACAACCACCTCTATTTTGGTAAAAATAATGTTTATAGCATTGCTCATCACCTTTTTTACATGTTTAGAGGAATGTCAACAAATTTTACTTATAAATGTTGTTTTCTTAGGGGATATTGCACATCAGTGTATTGTTAAAGAACTAATTAGTGTTGTAGAATATTGGTGTATGTCAACAAATTATAATTACAAATGTAGAAAATTTTAACAACATTAATAATTAAAGTTGTAACTTTTTCAATGAGATAAGGTATTGATGAATTGCAAAATTGTGGAATTGGGGTTGGGTGCAGGGGGGGCATGTGGGTACGGGTCACTGGTTGATGTGAAGCCACTGAGGGCCAGAGTAGGAGCGGTGAGTCCAGTCCTGTTCAAAGGAGGAGAGGGGTGTGGGGCCTGCTACAAAGTCAAGTGCTTGGACGACTCCATTTGTTCCCGGAGGGCCGTCACCGTTATCATCACCGATGAGTGTCCCGGCGGCTATTGCTCCGCCGGCCGCACCCACTTTGACCTCAGTGGCGCCGCCTTCGGCCGCATGGCTGTCGCTGGCGACAATAACGAACTACGTAATCGAGGCGAGATCTCCGTCATTTACCGCCGGTAAATACTACATTTTTTTTGGATACATCAGAAAATGTTAAAGACTACATTTAATTTCGTGTTCTTCTTCGATGCTTTTAACGGTTCCTTTCTAGCGTTTTGTCACTTTATGCTTGTTAGTTTATTAATTAATATGAATCTATTTTTAAATGTTTGGTACCTAGCAACAATGTCACTGATTGGTGTGTTTGGGCATGAACAAAATTCGCATTGACTTTCTTGTTTCGAGAGCTTTTTGTTAAGGAGTGCCTTAAAGAATATTAATTAACTGGAATATTTTTTTGCTGGGTTAATTAACTAAATATTAAATGGTTCAAAAATATTCTTCACCCACAAATTTTTTTTTTTAAAAAAAAAATTGTATCTTACTAACAAGTATCATTGGATCATACAAAAAGACAAAATACAAAAATGCAAAACGCTTTTCACTTAACTTAATTTTTTATTTAAACTTGTTAGCAATTGATTTTATTATTATTATTATTATTATTATTATTATTGAAGGACACCGTGTAAATATCCGGGGAAAAATATAGCATTCCATGTAAATGAAGGATCCACAGATTACTGGCTTTCTCTTCTAGTGGAATTCGAGGATGGAGATGGTGATGTTGGATCAATGCATATTAGAGAGGTACATATTTCTTCTTATTTAATTATTTTTTAATATTTAATTTTATTTATTCGTATTATGCTTAATCCCTGGCAATATGTTTGTTAAATAAATAGGGGAATTGCACACTCGGAAACAGGCTTTTTTAACAATTTTTTAGTTTTTTGACTAAAATATGATATTTGTTCTGCATGAAATTTTACTTTGGAACCTATACTTTCAACTCCTATACTTTTGGTCACATTACAATTGAGACTAACCATGAGGAGTGATGCTACAGCCCCTAATATATCACCTTCATTTTGAGTTTTAATAAGATGGAAAAGAGAAAATAGAGAGAGATAGGAAGAGAGAGTGTAGATCCACCCTTCATATGATCCATTCCATATCATTAGGAGTAGATTGGGATGCTCAATTAGAACTTCTAAACATTTTTCATCCATGAGTTTGTATTTTAAACACAGATGGAAAATAATTTTCCACAAGATAAAGTATAAAGTGCAATTTCACACACACACACACACACCCACCAAAAAAAAAAAAAATCTCATACTAGGCTCCTCATTTATGAATTTTTTTAGAACAATTCTAATAGGATGTTATAATTGCTATTATTGCTAAATTGTAGCAGCTTTATAATAAATAAAAAAAACTTCTTTTGTCAAAAAATAGCATTGTCAACTGATAAATTTGACACATAATTTGACAATATTATTTGTGCCAATTCAACTCCGTCAAGAGTGATTTGTATCAAAAAAATGTTTTGGAGCTTTAATTTTTGAGCTCTAAAGGTAGCTCTAATGAGTTGACAGTTTGCTCCACCCACACTGATGTGATGTTTTGGTCTTAATTTTTTTTATTTTTTATTTTTTGTTCATTGTTATGTCATCAGTGCTCTATTAGAACATCAAAATTAATAGTCTAAACCATTATTGTTTATATCATTTGCACAAGTTGAGTAATATTGTCACAATTATAAATATAATATTGTCTTTTGGACAAGTAAATGCTAAGTGACAAATCATATTAGTCATAAGAAACTTCCATCTATCACCTTAAAAGAAGTGATGAGGACTTTCACACTTTTCCTAAAAAAGAAGACCATGAATTTACATCACCAGAATATATAACAGAAATAGTGGGTTTAGAAGACTTTTTTGGGCACAGACAAATCCGAATATTGCGGATGTCTACCAATCACGTGCCCAACCTCGCCAATTACATTGCTTTTTTTCTTTCTTTTTTGTTTTTGAGCAAAAGGGTCTAAAGATTTTGGCTATTTTGATCATCTTTTTTGGCAAAGAAAATCTTTTTCCTTCAATAATAATTAGTACTATGTGTGTGTGCCCCCCATGCCATCCTCAGTCGTGCCAATGTACAATCTGCTCAAAAGCACTTTTTCTATCTCCCAGCTTTTGCTTTTTTTTTGTTGAAACTATTTTTCCAATCTCTCTCTTTCTCTCAGCTTTTGCTTCTGCGTCACACACACCATGTACTGTTTGCCATCATGAATATTTAACAAGAGATCAAGTATGTTACATCTGTATTAGTAATTGTATCTGCCTAAAATATTCTAAAAGTCTTTTATGCCACCCACTTCTATTACACTAAAATTTTCATTCGGGTGGAAAATTTATTGATAACAGTTTATTTTAGTATAAGAACATATCATAATAATGTTACCTTTTGATACAATTATTAAGGTTGTGTTGTGAATATTTAAACCTAATTTTATGGTCAAGGGAAACCCAAATAGTGGATACAAAATTGGGTTTCTAGATTAGGAAAATGGGGAGACCTCCAGCACCCCCAGTGGGAGCCCCCCTAGTGGGTTCTGAGTGGTCCCCCAACTGGGGGTCTGCAGTGCAGCAGTGTTGTCTAGATTAATATTCTTTTTGAACTATCCCTGAGAATTATTGAGTCTCATGAAGGAGTGATATAAAATGAGGAATTATAGGAGTCCAAATTAAGAAGTTGAAAGACCAAAATATCCTTGAATTATGATTATTTAGTTCTTGTATAGTGAGTGATTCCAAACAAACCTGGGATATCATAAGATTTTACTAATTTTCTTCCTAATTTAGTGACATTCCAAACGTTAGATATGATATGTATTTTTAGATTGTATTTGAATCATAGATTTAGTTAGAAATTTGAATGAAATGTAAATTATTATTTTTTCTCTATTTTTCTTTTCATTCTAAATCTCTACTCAAATTCATGGTTCAAACACATCATTAAGAGATTGATAATCTCAAAATTGATAATGGTGAGAACCATCAAGTCCAATGAGACAAACATGACTAAAAGGTTAGAAACTTAAGATCTAATCTTTTGATAAGAGATAGGAATCTATATAAGTGGTAGTGAAAGTAGAAAATTCCAATTTTGATTAATGGATTCAATATATTCATTGACATTTTGTGGGCAGGCAAGTTCCATAGAATGGGTAGAGATGAAGCATATATGGGGAGCAACTTGGTGCATTGTTGGGGGACCCTTAAAAGGACCATTTTCAGTGAAGCTCACCACACTTTCAACAGCAAGAACTCTTTCTGCAAGAGATGTTATTCCAAGCAATTGGTCTCCTAAAGCCACCTACACCTCTCGCCTCAACTTCTTCACTTAATAATAAATTCTGGGTACTGTTTCTCTGGCATTCACTCTCTTCGAAATGAAGAAATAAAGAGGTTCTCCATGACACCCAAAAAAAAACAAAAAAAAAAAAAAGCAACCGAGAAATAAAGAGGTTCTCCATGACACCCAAAAAAAAACAAAAAAAAAAAAAGCAACCGTTATGGGGGGTGGTTAAAGAAAGAAAAGTAGCCGTTGGAGCGTTTAAAAAAGCAACCAACGCTCTCTCTTCTTTGTTTTTTTTCAATATCTTTTTTTATATGTTGCCTAATTTATGTTGTAGAGTGTTTGTTTTGTTTTTATAAATGTATTGTTAGTTGTAGCCCTCTCCAAAAGGAGGAGAGAGAGCTTCAGTTAATATAATGTAATGTAATCTGATGTGGGTGTGAGCTCTAGTTAAATATTATGTAATCTAATGTGTGTGTAAGTTTGTGGGCCATGAATTTGGTCCAATGAATGCAATTGTTGTAATTCATAGATCAACAGTGTGGTTGGGGAGGAAATAGTTAATGCCATATTTTGGGTATTAAGACAAAAATTTTAGTTTATTGAGTTATTAATTTATTTCAATCATATTATTTCTTTATTTTTTTACATATTTTTTTAAAAAATTAAATTATTGATAATAATAAGAATACCACGTGTGAGTGAGGAAACAAGATTTGCATTACTATCACTTACCCTTGACCAGGAAAATGGGAATTGCTTTAGGGCTAAGGGGTTGTTTGGAGCATGAGTTTTTAGCTGAAATAGTCAAAAAGTTAAACCAAGTTATTATATCACTCTCTATATTTTTATACATCTTTTATATATAAAAAAATTAAAAAATTAACTAAAATAACATGTACGCATTTACAAATGTTGAAAAATTATTAAATTTAACTTCAAATTTAGACGGAATAAACAGATTGAAATATTAGAAAATTGACAAGTGTTCTAAAATTATTAAATTTAATTTGCAATTTAGAAAGAATGACCAAATTGAAACTAAATTTACAGTATAAAAAACAAATTGTTCAAATTGAAAATATAAAAACTAAAATGAAATTTAGATCAAATTATAAGAATAAAAAGTAAAATTAACCCATAATATTTTTTTAAAAAATTGTGTTTAGTTGGAGGATTTGACAAGGAAAAGAAAAATAAAAATAAAAATAAAAAATTGATAGGATTCGAATTTCAATTTATGTGTGGTTGAGTTAGGAATAGAGAAAAAAAAAATGTCTAAGTGAATCCAAAAAATAAAAAATAAAATTGTATTTCTTTGTTTTAATTATTTATTTCTCTAATCAAATCTTTTAACTAAACACAGGTGATTATTCGATAGTCTCAGTGGTGTTTGGTTTATAGGTATTTTTAGTTTCATGTTTGTACTCTATAAAAAATTAAATAAATAAATAAATAAAAATTAAAAAAAATTTCCGCCCAGGTAGCTGCTAGTCTCATAATCAAAGCTTTGATTGTCATTCTGCCAAACACATACAGTCGTGCAATAATCTAAATAAATGTATATTTTAATTTTTTATGAAAAAATATGTAAAAAAATAAAAAAATGATATGATCAAAAAGAATAAAAAGTATACTTATATAATGTACTTCTATAGTGTACCACAGACCAAGCCTTATAAATTACTTTTTAAGATATGTACAATTGATCACTTTGTTCGGTTTGGTTTTTTGGAATTTGCTTTTTAGAAAATTAAATTTTTTTATTTTTACTAAATTTTTTAATATTTTAAGTAATTTTTAGATACACCTAACATGAATATACTTAAAATGTATAATATTTGTGAAAAAAATCTTTAGAAAAATCACTAAATAACAAAAATACAAAAAAAAATAAGACAATTCAGTATATTTTTCGTATTCTTGTGCATTTATTGATTTTTTAAAATATTTTTTTACAAATATTTTATTTTTTAGATACATCTAAATAAGATGTATTTAGATGTATCTAAAAAAATTACAAAAATTACTTAAATTTTCAAAAATATTTACTACAAATAAAAAAATACAAAAAGTAAAAAATTTAATTTTTCAAAAATTAAAATCAAACCCACCGAATAAGAAATGTGAATGGGAAATTCATAAATTTGACTTCCCTTGTTTGTTGAATGGAAATATGTAGTGTATGCTATATAATATAGCTAGTGTGCCAAAGATGTGAATGGATATGAATGAATGTATAAAGCTGTGTTTGAATTTATGGCTCACATGCAAAAGATATCAAAATCTTTTAAGAACTAGTTTCGGTCTGAACAAGTTGAAAAAGTTATTGATATCTGGATGAGGGGAATTAATTATATCAAAACTGTAAAGTTTAGGCCTTGTTTGGGAACATATTAATTTAGTAATTTTTTGATTATTTAGTTAAAATATGAGTTAAAAAAAATTAATATGTTTGGGATGATTTTTAGCTTTTTACGAAAAGATGTGCAAAAAGTAGAGAGAAAAGAGAATCTTTGAATTTTTGATATGAGTTATTGGCTTTTTGACTAATTTAGTAACTTTTTGACTAAAATAGAAGGTTCCCAAACGAGGCCTATTCAAATGAGATGGAGAAAAAATAAATAAATTATATTAGTGAGAAGTTTGGTAAAAATACAATTAATTTTATGTTTTTAATATAATTATATCGAATTTTCTTTTAGAGTCTATGTTGTTTGACATGATAGATATACATATACTTATAAATAAATGTATTTATTTAGGTCACATAATCTTTCTATTTTTTTTGTACATCTTTTCGTAAAAAATCAAAAAGTATATTTATTTAAATCATCCCAAATAAGACAATATTGAAATAAATAAAAAATGGATATAAATTTTGGTAAAAAAAAATGATAATATCATTTTTAAAAAAATTTATATAACTTATGAATTATTAATGAAAAAGAACATAATTATTATGTAAATTAAAATTTCAAGAAAGATCAATATAATTATATCGAAAATATGATTAACTGCATTTTATTTAAATTCCAAAAGAGGTGAGTTTAATTTGGTCAAATATATATATATATATATATCAAAACGAGACCTCAACTTACTAGTTTTTTTTTTTCAAATTTGGAATTTCAGCAATAAGATAATTTTTTTTTAAAAAAAAATTGAGAGCCTTTTTCTTTCTTTCTTTCTTTTTTTTCATGGATACTGCCATAAATGAAACTATACACACCAATTAATATATCAATTAGTTTACTAATGAGTGATATAACATAATTTTAAAAATTTTAAATTTTTATAATTTATATAGCTAGTAAGATTTATAATTTTGAAATGACAATAACATTCTTTTAACGCATCCTCCAAAAATAAAGTGGGTTCGGTTTGGTTGTGTTACCAGCAGTAGCATAGCATTTGTCTTTTTTCTTACCTTTTTTATTTTATTTTTGTTAAGACTTTTGAAAGATCTGATAGGCATTATTGAATAACATAGAGAGAGACAACATGCCTACGTCTTCCTTGCAATGTACCCAACAAATGACCAAGCCGCATAATTTACCGAGCAGAGTTCTATAGTCCCAGACAAAAGGACCCAGAATTTGCGATGAATGATAAAAAAAATTTCATGCTGTGGTCCCATATCAAGAAGTTTAAACCTACACCATAGATCTAAATATCTGTATAATTTTCTTGATACTATTCGGGGGCATGTTTGTTTGGGCGGACTGGATTAGTATTCCTATGACTAATAGTCCTGGGATTACGAATCCATTAGATTATGTATCCTATCTTAACTAATAGTCAAGTTTAAAATAATTAATCCGTACTTCAATTGTTTAACCAAACATCGGATTAATAATTTTATTGGATTATTAGTCCAATCCCAAACTCATGTCCACCCAAACAAACATGGCCTTAGTAATGGGGTAGGGGTGGGATAACTAATACCACACTAATTTAATAGGATTATTAATACCTCACTATTAGTGTTGTGAATCAAACATGGCCTTAGTTTACTAATGAGTGATATAACATAATTTTAAAAATTTTAAATTTTTATAATTTATATAGCTAGTGAGATTTATAATTTTGAAATGACAATAACATTCTTTTAACGCATCCTCCAAAAATAAAGTAGGTTCGGTTTGGTTGTGTTACCAGCAGTAGCATAGCATTTGTCTTTTTTCTAACCTTTTTTATTTTATTTTTGTTAAGACTTCTGCAAGATCTGATAGGCATTATTGAATAACATAGAGAGAGAGACAACATGCCTACGTCTTCCTTGCAATGTACCCAACAAATGACCAAGCCGCATAATTTAACGAGCAGAGTTCTATAGTCCCAGACCAAAAGACCCAGAATTTGCGATGAATGATAAAAAAAAATTCATGCTGTGGTCCCATATCATGAAGTTTGAACCTACACCATAGATCTAAATATCTGTATAATTTTCTTGATACTATTCTGGCACAGTAGACTTCCTGTGATTTAAGTGCAAGGATATCAGACATGGTTATCACATATCAAACTGCCAATAACCAACCCAACCAACACATGATGCAAAGAAAGAGAAAATGCTAAATTAATAACGTGGTAAAATATCTGAGTGCCAAAAAGCACGTTTAATCAACATCATAGTTTAGTCTGAAACAAAATAATCCCAACCATAAAAAAACAAGTTAGGAAGAAAAACAAAAGTTATCCGCAGCACATGCTTCATGCCATGAAGCCTCAAAATGTGGCTCAAAACTCAAAATGTGGCTGCTCTCTTATTCTCTATGCTGAATGGTAAGAAGCATATTCAGATAACTCTGCCCAAAAGAACAAAAAATTAAAAGACACAATCAATTAGGAAGAAATTAATTATAAAATCATCCGTTAGTCATCAAGCAGATGCTGGTTCGGTTTCTGCAACTTGGTCCCCTTCAGTGGCAGCAGGCGCATCTGGTTTAGGCACATCTGGTTTAGGTGCATCAGGGCCACTATTGGTAGAGGTTGCAGTAGCAGCAGCATCTTTGGCAGGTGAAACAGCTTTCTCGGCATCAGCAGCCCCACCAGCTTCCGTGGTCACTGCTGCATCTTTCCCATCCTTGGCATCTTTCTCTTCCGTGGCCACGGCTGCATCTTTCCCATCCTTGGCATCTTTCTCTTCCGTGGCCGCCACTGCATCTTTCCCATCCTTGGCATCTTTCCCTTCCGTGGCAGCCACTGCATCTTTTCCGTTCTTCGCATCTTTCCCTTCCGTGCCCTTTGCATGCTTCTTCCCACCCTTCTCATCTTTGCCATCCTTTGCAGGTGGAGGTGGGGGAGGTAACATGTGAGGCGGAGGGTTTTGCTTCAGCTTCAAAACAAGTTGCCGAAATCTGGCAAGATCAGTAGGTTTACCGGGCTTTGGGCCCTGAATGACCATTACTGAAGGCTTCTTTTCTTCATCCTTCTTCCGTCCCCTCTTCTCAAAGTTAGCGACCTCACGAGGAATGATCTCCGCTATTGCCTTCCAGTACTGTTTGTCGGCTTCTTTGTGGAATTTCTCTTGGTTGGCCAAGTACAGCTGTCCCAGAACACAAATTAGATTGCCTCAACACTACATTAAATTATAAAATACAAAATAAGACTTTTGCCAATACATAATGGAACAGACTTTTGCCAGTAATACCTTCTCTCTCTCTCTGTTCTGGGTCTTGTTAGTCTCGCAGTTGAGCTTCCTTTTCTCATAGAAAGATTGTTTGTACTCCTCAGCTTCATTAATGATCTGGATCCTCATCTCCTTCTCCTTCTTCTCCTTTTCCTCAAGATAAATGGCATTTTGGCTGCAAAAATTAAGGGAAAGTTTGAAACACTAACCACATAGTGCAGGCAATATATACTTACTGAGTAGAAATTACGATAACAACAATAAGGCAAAATTATATTTCTCCTTCACACTTTTCTCAATATTTTAATGTTTTTCTATTTGAGCTCCCAAACTTAGATAAATAAGCTAATGCAGTTTATCCTGTTAACAAGGATAAGAAAAGACAACTGCAAAAACACCAATAGCGTTACACCTTCACATGAAACTGAACTTCACCTGTTGGTTTCCGCTCTCCATCTCTGCTACATTTAGCTTATCTCTCTCAAGTTTAAACCTTGAAAGTATTAGTTAAATTTGAAACATTTAAAATCATCCTATATTCAAATATTGTCCATCTTCACAACCTCCTATTTAACCCATTCCAAATTAGCTCAAATGAAAAACACGTTACAACTTTGCTAACCATCATTAAAAAGCTGGATCTCATTGGCTTGATTATGAATGTTCAAGGGCTCAAATAGAAGTATTTGAAGTGGGGGATCACATTGAAAACTTGAGGAAAGCTCTGAGGACAACGTAATGCAAAGCAACACACTTGCAACTCCAAGATTCAGCAACTACAGTCAGAAAAACATATATGCCCGGAAATTTCTGTAAAAACATATGGTCAAACATGAAATGAACTCCCTCCTTAATATAATTTCCTCTCCCTTCTTAATTGTTTGAATTTTGTGCTTGAATCGCGTGACATGGGCCAAGGACATAGGAAAATCATATCTATTATCTTTTCTTTTCTTTTTTTTGGTTTAAATTAAAGGGGTGCAACCCAAGGACTTCCCCAGGGATATATATCTATTATCTATTACACAGAATTAGAATACAAAAAGTGTATATAAAATACGTCATGTGGTAAATTTTAACCACACTATATTTTCTGTATACTTTCCATATTCTAATTATGTGCACCTAGCATTATTATGACAAATACAACAATGCTAAGACCACAAAATTATAACACAAAAAGTGTAAAAAAAATATCTCAAATAAATGTCTCTTCAGTGATTTGAACTACTGAAATACATCAAATCCTAAAATGTCCCTCTTTCAACATTTCATATATATCATTCCATCTCAAGATGGAATGGCTGAGATAGTTTGACAAAATTCATGTGGGCACCTTGCAGCAGGATAATGGAATTTTCAAATTTCTATTTGTAACATTAAAGGGGTCATTTCTAATCATATGGGTAAAGCTCCTCATAGTAAATACCTTGCGAGTAATTAACACCTTATATGATTCCTGCGACAAGATTGTTGATCATATCGTGATGAAATTTTTTTAATAGATGTTGAGCTGGGTAAGGATTACTATGAGTTATTTTTTGGTTGACTGATCCTGAGAACTTCAAAAAATTTAATGGTTTCCAATTTCTTTTCATATGAGTAAAGCTCTTCATAGTTTAACACCATATGAGTAATTAACACATTTTTTATTGTCGCCACAAGATTGTTGATCATGACAGAAAAACTATAATAGATGCTGAACTGAGTAGAGATTACTTGATTTTATTAGTTGAGTGATCCTGAGAGCTTCAATAATAGTGCAGCCAAACAAGAAGTTGGATACCTCCTCCCCTCTTTCTTTTATATTTAGCCAAACAAGAAGGGGAGTGCCGTAGGCACAGGTAATTCACTAGTAGGAGTATAAAGCAAGGATAGTGCAATGCAAGGAGACAAGGGGAAGTTCAAGTCTCAGCAGAACATATTTATTAGAAAAAGCTTGCCTACTAAACAAAATCTAAATATGAATTAAATTAAATTTGACACGGCAAGCATGCATCCAATAAATATAACAGAATTCATCTTAGTAAAGTGACTAAATGTGATAGAAGAAGAAATGGTATATTTTCAGTTCAAGCAAAACTCAAAAAAGACAACGGCCAATAAATAATTGTAAATTAATAGTAAAAGCTCACCAAATGAACAAAATCTAGACAGTAAAAGGAAACACCCTATACTACAAAATTCATCCGAGCAAAGTAACTAAATAAGAGAGCAGCAAAAATGTTTTCCAATGCTGAGTAAAAAACTCAATAAATACAAACCAATAACTAGAAGTATATATATTACAATCAAGAACGGATTAAGAACCACTTACATAGATATGAATTAGTTACTGAGGTAATTATGTATGACTGCCAATTTAGAATTAACTCAACACATTCTTTAATTTACTTAAAAGTATTTGATGATGTAAGAAATGGAAAACACTCAAATAATATCGTTAAACATTTTTCTTGGAGCAGGTACATCTGGTTCTTTTGCTATTGCCTCAGTCTATAAGTGGTGTGAGTTGAATCTTGGAGCTACTAGCAAAACTCTATTTGGAAGAATGCTTCCCCACCCAAGGTTCAATTCTTTGCATGGCTAGCATGGAAAGGGAGGATTAAGACATCCAGTTACCTTCAAAGAATTGGTATTCTCAGTGATGAAACAAATGTAAATTGTATTTTCTACAATAATGATGTGGAGAGTGTAAACCATGTGCTGCTGTTTTGCCCTTTTGTCTAGCAGATTTGGTCCAATATTATCGATTGGTGGGATTTTCTTTGGGCAATGCCTAGATCTGTGAGTAGCTTATTCCATTGGTGGGCTGGTACTAAACTTTAAAAACAGGAGAAGTTGATTTGAAAAGCCATTCCTCTTGCTGTGTTCTGGTCCATTTGGAAACAGAGAACTGCATTTTCAATGGCTCACAGGTGGACTTTGAGGGTTTGTGTGAATCTATCAAGCTAAGGATTGCAGTATGGGCCAAATCTTCATGCCCCTCTTTGAGTTACTCAGTTAATGATATTATCTATAACCTGCAACAAGTCAAATTTTGCATCAAGGGAGTTGGTTGAGTAATACAGGTAGATTCTTTAAATTCTGCACCAGGGGAGTTGGTTGTGTCTGCTGGTGGTGGGTTGAATTTCTTTTGGGTTGGCAGTTTGGTGTTTTGTATGTTTGATGCTTAAGGCCTTGGTTGTTTGTTTGCCTTTTGTTTGTTTGTTTCTTTTGCTGTTTGTTGGTTCCTCACCAACCCTATGTGGTTGTGCTAGCTAATGATTGGGCATTCTCCTTGGTGCTAACCTAGTTGTGATCGTGGTGCTTTGCTTTCATGTTCTTTGCACTTCCCCTTCACTTCTCCTTTTTTATTGATGTAATCTCATATGAAATGTATATTTTTTTTCTCATCAATAAAGTTTCTTTTGCTGATAATAATAATAATAAATAAATAAGGGGGCATGAATATGATGGGAATCCACTCAATGCCTCAATCAAGTTGTGAATCACACAATTCCAAACAAATGGGTTTGCTCTTGTGAACCAATATAGTCAAAACTGAAGCAAAGCGTGGCCCTTTCCTCCTACATCTTTCACTGTTCAAATTCCTTCAGTAATGGTCATATTTGTCATATTTGGTTCCTATAATTCATTTGTCAACACATGAATTTAAGACAAAAATCCAAAAAAGACAATACAAGATCTATGAAATAAACTAATGAAAATTTACAACAGCTCACTGTACAGATATTAATATATATCAGGAACAAAATTCAGATCCACAAAAGCAAACAACAGAAAAACTCACCGACGCCACTCGCGAAAAGCAGCACCTTCCTCTCTCATCTCGCTAGGGTCCGGAAGCAGAGGACCATCGGAACCAGTGAATAGCCCCTCTGTGTCAGCTCCGAGATCATAAGGCTTCCCATTGCCGTTCAATTCGGGAACAGACGACTCGAACGGCGACGGAGGGTAGTCAGGGTTAGGGCCCGATTCAAACCCGTAGCCATCCATCGAATCCGGATTGTTATTGACGTCGTCACCGGCGGCGCCGAAGTCGTCGTTGCTGTGGTAAATAGGCGGAGGTGCACCGTCATCGACGGCAGCGGGGAGGTCGAAATCGTAGTGCTGGGACTGAAGGCGAGGGTCGTAGCCGATGTAGCCATCGTCATCGAAGGGCCGCGATGTAGCCTCAATTTCGGCTCCATCGTTGTATGTATCATCAAAAGACGCCATTTTCAGCTCTCTTCTCTCTCTCTCTCTCTCTACAAATCCTTATCTTTCTCTCTATATCGTCAGTCTGTTCAGATCGGACGAAACCTACCGAAGAGGAAGAGGTCGTTGGATCGAAAGTCTCTCTCTCTCTCACTCTGAAAATGAAACAAGTGCAAATTTCACACGAGTTAAACGAGTTGTGAACACGTAACGACGTCGTTTTCAAGTGTCTTTTACGAAATAGGTAAATTACAAATATATACTCTAAATTTTTTTTTAAAACACAAATTATTCTATCTTGGAAATTACATTACATCCTTCAAATTTCTAATTGCATAATTAATGAGTCATTTTATTATTAAATTATTAAGTCAATTAGCAGTTTTTAATTATATTAAAAAATATTTCATTTAATAATTTAAATAATTTTATTATTATATAAGAGAAGCAACAACAAAGGGCCCGTTTGAGCGTCAAAAGCCCTGCTCGAGCGTGAAGGCCAAAATCTGGGCATCAACTCTTGGTTTCTAAACACAACCAACCTGTTCCAAACCTGCCCAACACAACCCAAGACTCAAATACAAAGAGTAAAGGATGGAAAGGAGAATAAGACAACAACACAACCATAGAACCAAGTCCGGAATACAATAAACAAAGAAAGGGAAAACCGAGATCGCTATAATCCTTCTAGGAAGTTTTTTCATTTTTAGTCAAAAACAAAATCACCATGTTTGTTTCCAGAAAATTAAATCCAGCTTTTAGAAAAAAAAAAAATTCCATGTTTTTTTCTCTACTGAATTTTTTTTAATATTTTGCACAATTTTTATTTTTTATTTTTTAGATACACTTAATCTAAATATTCTTAAAAAATATAATATTTTTGGAAAAAACTTAGAAAGATTCATCAAATACAAAAAAAAATAAAAATAAATAAATATTAAAAAAATAAAAATTCAACACATTTTCGTATTTTGTTATATTGCATGAATTTAAAAAAAAAATGTAAAATTTTTTAACTTTTTAAATATATTAAGATTAAATGGATCTAAAATTTTTAAAAAAATAATTAAAATATTTTTAAAAATCATTAAAAAATATTAAAATATAAATTAAAAACTCGAAAAAATATTTTTTGAAATTCAAAATTAAACAGGATTATTTGTATTTTATGTAAACATCCCGGTATATTTGTAATTTACCTTTACAAAGAAACTTAAATTCTATCGTTTGTAGGTGGACACACGGACGCTTCTCGTCGGGCCACGTATTGGGCCGAGGACCGTTCTCAAGCTACGTGACTACCCCATGGCACGTGTCTGTACTCTGTAGTAGATAATGCTTCAGAAGCAATAAATTTTCATGTGCCATGGGGTAGTCACGTAGGCACGTGTCTGTACTCGATTTTCTGAAGCACGTTCATAAGCACGTGTCTGTACTCTCGTTCCAACAAAATCGAGTTGGAGGCGGAGGCAGGGCCGGAGGCGACGGAGGTTGGAGGCGCCATGGCACGTGTCTGTACTCTGTAGTAGATAATGCTTCAGATAAGCTTGAAAGCTGATTTTTTTCATTTTCTTATTTTTTTTTTAAAACATGTGTTAAAAAAAAAAATTATTCAGTAATATTGGAACGTGATATTTCATAGTATTATAATTTATAAAAAAGTGAATAGGTAAGATATTATGTGGGGCGATTGAAAAACATAAATCCTAATAAGTGAACTTATTGTCTAATAAGTTCTATAGAAAAAAATTTATCATAAAAAAGTCACTAATTATAAATTTTAGCAACAATTTATAAAAATCATGACAAAAAAAGTCACTAATTATCAATTTTTAGTGACATATATAAAAAATTGTCATAAAAAATTATTTTTAAAGATAATTTTACTAAAATTTATTTTCAATAAGACATGATAAAAATTAAGTCAAACTATCAACACCTATTAATAATTTATTTTATATTTAAATGATAATTAATTAAAAAATACACATGCGTCATATCCCGAAAATATGAAATAATTTCTCGTAAAAAAATAGAATAATAATAAGTTAAAAATTAATTTTTAGTCAAATTTTCAAGGACAAATTACATATACCTCTTTCGAGGTTTAACTAAATTACAAATATTTTTTTGAAGTTTCGGAAATTACATCTCATCATCTGAGGTTTATATTTTCATAATAATTTGTCCCCTGAAGTTTTTATTTCATAACAAATTATCTCCTAATTTCTTATGTAAATATAACATTCAGTGAGAAATTTATAATTTCTCATACTTCAGAAAATATTTGTAATTTAGCCAAATCTCGACAGCAATATGTAATTTGCCCAATTTTCAAATTAGTCGGTTAAAAGTCAACACTTTCCTCCCCTCTCGCTCTAGAAAACAGAGCTCTCTCTCTCTCTCTCTCTCTCTCTAGACTGGTGGAGAAAAGGTGACGGATCGTTTCTTTCTCAATGAAATGCCAGACTTGGTCGAGGAGAATGAAGAAGATGTAGTGATTGTGGGCTCTGAAGATTCGCTGATGAAGCTTCTCTTGATGCCTTACTCTGCATTCTCAGAGAGACTCAAAGAGCTGGATTGGATCTCAAAGAAACTGTACTCTCTCTCTCTCTCTCTCTCTCTCTATGTCTCTGTTTTACTATGTGAATGTGATTTGTATAAGATTTAGAGTGGTGTGCCGACCAGGTGTTTGTGTTTTTGTTTTTGTTTCTGTTTTCAGGTGGTGGTGGAGACGTGGGGAATCACTGAACAACTTGTGGCAGACTTCACTCTTTACTCAGGAACTCTCGGGACAGCCTTTTTGCAATTCAAAGCCTATCAAGTCACTAACAACGAAGTAGATCTCAAACTCTGTTCTGAGATTGTTAAGGCTTGTGACTTTGCTTCTTCTCAGTCCAGGCGTGATAGTGTAGTGGTTCTACCTTTTCTCCTTTTCTCCCCCCCCCCCCCCCCCCCCCATGGCTCAGTTGATTGATTTTATGCATTTCTGTTTATGAGTTTTAGTTTTAGCAATGTTTTTGAAGTTCAATTGAGCTCGAAGGTGCTTATTATGCAATATATTGATGGTAGGGATGTGACTTTTGTATGTGGCCGGGCTGGTGTTTGTACCCTTGGTGCTGTTGTAGCTAATCACTTGGGTGATGATCAGTTGCAAACTTATTATTTATCCCAATTTAAAGATGTAGTAATTTGATCGCATTTTGCTCCGCTATGGTGGCATTGTTTGAGAAATTTTGTGATTTGGTTTTCGGTATTGATTGATTGATTGCATTTGAACCATGAAAATAGATTAAGATTCCGAAAGATCTCCCTGATGAGTTGTTATACGGGAGAGATGGGTTCTTATGGGCATGTTTATTCCTAAACAAACATATAGGCGAGGGAACGATTCCTTCTGACTACATTTTAAGGCCTCTGTATGCACTTCTACCTATTGATTTAAGTTAGATGGAGTTATTAAGAGTGGATTGTTAATTATACGATAGGGTGCAGTGGTGAATGACATTTTGAAGAATGGGAGAGCATTGGGTGTTAAAGAAAGATGCCCATTCATGTTTGAATGGTATGGTGAAAAGTACTGGGGAGCTGCACATGGAATGGCAGGGATTATGCACGTTTTGATGTATGCAAAACTGAGTCCAGATGAGGCTGAGGAGGTCAAGTGTACTCTTAAATACATGATCAATTATCGGTTACCGAGTGGAAATTACCCTTCAAGTGAGCAGGATTGCAAGAGTGATTGTCTCGTGCATTGGTGTCATGGTGCTCCTGGGATGGCCCTCACTTTGATCAAAGCGGCTGAGGTAATTTCATTAGCATAATCTAGTTTACTCTCAAGTGTTGGACCCTCTAGCCAATCAAGAACCAAAGGTAGCTTGATAGCCTATGGGATCATGTAAATATTCAGGGAACAACGATGCAGTTGAGAAAATGTCAAGTTTAAGTATGCAGATAGGACTGAGAACTACTATTAATTTCTTTGGTTCCTCATTCTCCTTATATGCATTTTAACCTGCTGCATTATTGGATTGTTAATACAAAGGCTTCAACTCATTAAGTGGATTATTACCCATATATGTGCAATGTTAAGTTGCAACTTAGAAGTTAAATATTCTTTGACAAGGCTTCCCTACATACCAATAGAGTGGAAAGCTATGAAGTCACAAGACAAGCAATAATTTTACAAGCTTGTAGAAGTAGAAGTCTTCCTTTCAGTTTGCCTGGAAATTGACCAGGTGGTGAAATGGAAAAGGCATGCCCATTATCTAATTGTCATAGTTAAGTGTGATTAAACTTTTTGTTATAAATATTTTTATTTCTGCCCATCTTGTGATTGTCTTGCTCGTAATTGCCTCAAAATTTGTTTGATACGAAGGTTTTTGGAGACAAGGGGTTTTTGGAGACAAGGAGTTTTTGGAAGCAGCTGTAAATGCAGCAGGGGTTGTTTGGAATCGTGGCCTACTCAAGCGAGTTGGCATTTGTCATGGCATAAGTGGGAATACATTTGTTTTCCTCTCACTTTACCGACTGACAGGCAATAAGGAGTTTCTGTACAGAGCCAAAGCTTTCACTTGCTTTCTCCTTGATAGAGCTCACAGGCTTATATCAGAGGGAGAGATGCATGGTGGAGATAACCCCTATTCTTTGTTTGAAGGAATTGGAGGCATGGCTTGTCTTTTCCTAGATATGACTCAACCCACTGATTCTAAATTCCCTGCTTATGAGCTCTGAAGATTTTTGTATCACTGTAAAGTAAGAAAAACTATGCAAGACAACTAGGGTCGTCTTGTTGATTTCTGACTTTTGAATGTATAAGAAAGTTGTGTAGGCGAATTATCAATCATTGTCTATATATATGGTTGCCTACATTTATGCCTCTATATATAATGGTGCAAGATTCATTCACTTGAACAGAACAAGCTACTTGATAGGAATTTGTATTATGTCATGTTTATTAATTGGCTTGAATTCAACTCGAGCATGACTCTTAACAAGCATGAGTTCAGCACATTAAATATTAATTAAGGTGGAGCTCAACAACTCTGAGCTCAAATTAGAATCAAAATTATATTATTATATAAATATTATTTTAAATTAATATATAAATAGTATGTTCATATTTTTATTTGTGTTTAAATAATTACCAAGCCAAGCTTATT